AACAACAACAAACAACAACAACAACAAACAACAACAAACAAAAAAAAACAACAATAAAACAAAAACGAAAAAAAAAAAAAAAAAAACAAAAAAAACAAAAACAAAAAAACAAAAAAAAGGCGGAGTATTCATAGCGACGCTGGTGGGTCTGCTCCTGGCCATGTTAACGCTGGCCGGGGAGGTGTTCTACTACCGGCGACGGAACGCCAAGCTGGAGCCGCAGGAGCATATGAGGTCGCGCGAAAAGTTCAAGGGATCGATAACGGAAAGTGATCAGATGATGATACAAAAGTTGGCCTCGAGGCTGCAACTCAAGCCCGCGCCGACTTTCGCCTTCGACGGCAAATCCCTGGGATCCAAACAGCCCAAGATATCGCACATATCCGTCTATCCCAGAGATCCGTTTCCCTTCAAGGATTGATTGGGTGTTGAACACGCATATACCGCACAATATTCAGCCACTGTTGCCTATATAACATGACGTTGCCTTTTTCTTTGTTGTTGTTGTTGCTGCCATCATTTTATAATTCTACATATAAGCACTATCATTTCTTTTTTTTTTCTTTTTTTTTTGTACGCAAGGGGATATTGACATACATACATACATACATACATATATAAATATACATATATTCATTATGATTCACATCCATGTTATGTGTACGTTATACATATTCATGTTTGCAGCACGGAACCAAAGAATTGATTATAAGTAAGGAATCGCACGTATATATTAACCTATACACTCGCGCACGATGATCTTTCTCACCATATGCATACACGTGTATATTTACCAATCACCTGTGTACATAATGGTATGATACTTAATAATGCAAATGTAATGTAATCCTGTAATTTGTCAAAATTTTTGTGGTTTAATAATAAAAACCGTATGGAAAAAAAAAAAAAAAAAAAAAAAAAATACGGGAATTTCGTCCGCAGGATCCTCGATCTTCAGAAGGATCGGTACTTCGAGACGCTCAGCTCCAAGTACTGGAACCAGTCGCGCAAGGGCACGTGCTCGAATACCGACGACAACGAGGGCATCACCTTGCAGAGCTTAGGTGACCTTTTGTTCAATATTGATATGTGGAAGTACCTTTACAGAAAAATTATAAATTATTCCTGTTGTCCGGTTCGCATGTAACGCATACCAAAAAACAACAACAAACAACAACAACAACAAACAACAACAAACAAAAAAAAACAACAATAAAACAACAACTAAAAAACAACAAACAAAAAAAAACAACAATAAAACAACAACTAAAAAAAAAAAAAAAAAAACAAAAAAAACAAAAACAAAAAAACAAAAAAAAGGCGGAGTATTCATAGCGACGCTGGTGGGTCTGCTCCTGGCCATGTTAACGCTGGCCGGGGAGGTGTTCTACTACCGGCGACGGAACGCCAAGCTGGAGCCGCAGGAGCATATGAGGTCGCGCGAAAAGTTCAAGGGATCGATAACGGAAAGTGATCAGATGATGATACAAAAGTTGGCCTCGAGGCTGCAACTCAAGCCCGCGCCGACTTTCGCCTTCGACGGCAAATCCCTGGGATCCAAACAGCCCAAGATATCGCACATATCCGTCTATCCCAGAGATCCGTTTCCCTTCAAGGATTGATTGGGTGTTGAACACGCATATACCGCACAATATTCAGCCACTGTTGCCTATATAACATGACGTTGCCTTTTTCTTTGTTGTTGTTGTTGCTGCCATCATTTTATAATTCTACATATAAGCACTATCATTTCTTTTTTTTTTCTTTTTTTTTTGTACGCAAGGGGATATTGACATACATACATACATACATACATATATAAATATACATATATTCATTATGATTCACATCCATGTTATGTGTACGTTATACATATTCATGTTTGCAGCACGGAACCAAAGAATTGATTATAAGTAAGGAATCGCACGTATATATTAACCTATACACTCGCGCACGATGATCTTTCTCACCATATGCATACACGTGTATATTTACCAATCACCTGTGTACATAATGGTATGATACTTAATAATGCAAATGTAATGTAATCCTGTAATTTGTCAAAATTTTTGTGGTTTAATAATAAAAACCGTATGGAAAAAAATAACATACTGTTGTACACTCCCTGGATGAACGAATAAACGAAAAAATAAAAAAATAAAAAACCAACAGTCGGTTATTAGGAAAAAAAAAAATGAGTTGTCACTTTGATTGTTGTACGTGGACACAATGCGGCCTCAAAAAAAAAAAAAAAAAAAAAAAAGAACCAAAACAGAGAAACTGTTGTTGTCACGCGTATGGGGGAAAATGAGCAACTCGTCCCACATCTGTCGTTAATAAATAATTTAAAAAAATGTACGTGTTCGTAGTGTGCGCCCAACTGTACAAGGGCATAACGATGATCCTGGACATGACCTGGACCGGTTGGGACAAGCTGCGCGATTTGGCCCAGGACTACGGGATCATCTACAAGTGTGCCGACGCGACGATCAGCGCCTACGTGCAAGCCGTCGACAACATCCTCATGTACAAAAACACCACGGACGCCGCTCTGATATTCCAAAACGAGAAGGGTCGGTTGTCTTTAACGAGAAAAATCACTTTAAATCCAAAGAATCACTTGTCTATAACTTTGCCCTTCTTTCGGAAGATCAAAACGCGTATTTGTATACATACATATATCGCGATGCGTGATACACCGATAAAACCGACTTTGTGGATTTGCTCGTCGAGCCCGTGCGTACACGCTATGAATCTTTTATTCGACAACTACGATACACAAGTACACCTATTTGCCTTCCGTTCGCGCCAGATTTACCAGCTATCGAGCACTTGTTTGCTCGGTCGTGCATATTACACGCGCGCGTCTCTGTTGTCACGTCCTCAAATAAATCGTCCATCATTGCAATGACGTGGAAAGAGAGGAATTGATTATCCAGCGTGTGTACCACACAAAATGCGTTTAGTAAAAAAAAAAAAAAAAAAAAAAGGGTAAATGAACCCCGTTTGC